AGGATAGCTGCCTTCCTGGCGGTTGTTTGTGACTTGGCATCCTGGCAACTGGGCGATTTGAGTAACTTTCGGGTAACCCAAATACCTTGACTGGCCGCCACAACGACTCTTCTTCCTCCAATGTTCCAAAGCTACCAAGTCCCCAAAGGCCGCCCCCATTTAACGGTGGCTCAGGAGCCGCCTCGAGTCGTACCCAATCACCAGAGAAACAGCCTATCTTGCTAAGAGAAGCGGTGTCAACGAAGACTCTAGCTTCCTCGTCATCATCGCCAGTAGGTTTTGGATGCAATATTTCTTCGGGCAGCTGCTTTACTAGGCCTTGTGATTTGAACAACCTCCCTCGCTGTCCACCCGCTTTAGCAGTTGTAGATGTCATGGTAGAGAAAACTGAGCCAGGCGTGTTAATGCCGTTTGTTTTCCTCCCGATTGTGCCAGGAGAGCCTCCGCGAACAGTAGACATTCCACTTGCATTATGATTTGGAAGTGTTGGAGCTTGTAATGATATCATATCATCCATGGAGTCGTCCGAGATACTGTCGGTCTCCTCAATGGAAACATCGTCCTCGGTCTCGCTTTGTGAGTCCTCGTCCACTGTCACATCTGTCTTGTACCTGTCTTCAGCTGCAGAAAAGAATTGGTCGTTCGTTGCATCCTCGTCCTCCTCTCGAAGATCGTTCAGACTGCGATCTAGTGGCAGAGGTGTAACCTTTCGGCTACTCTTCGCATAGTGGCCTGTCTTCGTGATGATTATCTTGCTCTGCGGCGCTAACAGACCCTGTCCGACGGGCTCGCACAATGTAACTTTTGCAGGCGGCGGAGGAACATGTGTGATAGGATGAGGAGGCAATGGCAGTGAAAAGAAGTCACCAGTGTGGACAATTTTCAAAGCCCCAAGTGCTTCTCGAATGGAGGCGGCCAGTCTGTCTTCAGGAGCTTGACTCTGCAATTGGCCGTTTTTATGCCCACGGATTTTGGGATGATCCGCATGAAAGTTGCCTTCTCCGTTCTCGAGTCTGCCGGCTAGGTCTGCTTCAATGGTCACAAACACAGTATCTAGTGGAAGTGGAACAACGTCTAATATCCTGATCTCTATACCACTCCGGCTGTTACTTGACAGCTTCGATGGGGCAACCTTTTGTAAAACCTCGGCGAAACCTTGGAGGGCAAGGGATAGAGGAGAGAATTGCACCGTGGAACGTGCTAGAGCTGTCGAGGGACGGATGGGCACTACAGCCCAGGTTGAATCCTCTACGGCTGTTGATGGACCCCAAGGTGCTATCGCGACATGATGAACATCGGGGAGTTTGACGCTACCGTTACCATTTTCACAAGCTGCGTTAACGATTAGAACAATGCATCAGAGAGCCAGGAGGAGTATCTGACGTTGTGCTGCAGCAGGGAACAGCTCTGCAAAGAGGTCCTCTGACAAAATTCCCACATCACCCTTCACATGGTCATCCAGCACCAATCTTGCTACAATGGCAGATTTGTCTTGACGTCTTCTTTTCCGCTTTTTGGTACTGGAAGCTAAAGAAGCATGCTGCGCCATAATTGACTTCGAGGTGCTGCGAGAAGCAATGTGGTAAGCCAAGGAAGGTATGATAATAGCTGATTCTACTGCATTTTAGAGACTAGCAGAAGTGAAGTGCGCATATAAGGACTTGCAAGCAATTAAAGGAGCGTGTCCATGTGTTCAAAGTATATATGTCGTCGAAGTGGTGAAATGATCAACCATGAAGCACAATTGCTTCTAACACAACTCACAGCTCGGCTGATCAACCGAGGCTTTCAGTTATCTTGGCAGTCTACAGCCTTGCCATCTAGTGCTATGGTCATTCATGTTCAGATGTAAGTCCACGTTAGTACTAGGGTTGCTCTTGGTATAGAAACTCAATTCCTCACCCTGTCTCTCATCGGATTGAAGCCGTGTTTCCATTTTCTTCCATCACTCACATATTAATTGGTAGCTATGACGTTGAATCGATCCTCTCCAGCACTTCCAGCACCACGAATAGCCTTCATGCGCAAATGTACAGGCTTTCGAAGCCCTCTAATTGGCGAATTCACCCCTAAATATGCTGCAGCAGAGCCGCTACAGCACACTGCGACACCCAGATCGGCAGACATGGCGTTCAGAAAAACCTGATAAGAGAGTTAGGTAGGAATGGCAACCATGATTCGATATTACAAATCTCTCTGCGATTCTCTATCAGTGGAATGCTCGCTGGCGACTGTTTTTTTTTGCTTTCTCTCCTCTCATTGCTGAGCTCACTGAAGTAAATGACATAAAGAAGTTTTGCAGCACCAAGTGTTTGAAGTTCGCCGACGATGAGCAAGTCCTCGCACAGCAATGCACCTATTGTGTCACCGCATTTGACGAGGCCGACCGTAGCACCAGCTACCGTCCATCAATACAAGCAACAAACAGAAAAGCTGTCCTTTATTCCCTCTGATGAAGATAAAGTTGGATCTCAGACCGCCGTTTCTGCGAGGTTCATAATACCGCAGGATCCTGTTATAGCACTTGGAAATGGAGTCAGACTTTCTGTCGTTCCACTGGCGGAGACAGAGAAGCTCAACGCACTGATAGATGAAAACTCTACTGTCCTTCAGAATGGCTTACACACCACTGGACCAGCGAAGGAATCAGCGAGCGATGGATCTGGCGCACTCGAGGACCCGGCAACCATACAAAAATCTGGGGAAGGTTTACTTCGGAGAGCAATGCCTCCATCTCGTACACACCCATTGTTTCCTCCGCTGCCTGTTTACGGTCCTTCTTCATTACTGCGAGACGTGCAATGTTTTTTCTTTCAAGCCACTTCTAGCGTTCTGTCTTTGGCATTTCTGGGCATTATTGTTCTAGGCGCGGTGTTCACGAGTATACCGCTAATGTTTAGACATGTATGGATGCGAATGACTTTGAGAAATCCAGAAAAAAGAAGACCCTACTATGAAGAGGAAGAGAGACGGAAGAAGATCAGAAAAGAGGCAAACAAGAACTGGACGAAAGCAAAATCACAGCGAAACTCGAGAGCAAAAGTCGGTCCAGAGGTCAAAGCTGTCCCGACCTTCGAAGACTTCATTCCCACCGAAGGAGGGCCGGACCCATTAATCTGTGATGCCGGATACTATGCTAGGAGAGTAGGGCTCGAGTTGGAGGAACACAAGGTGCGGACAGAGGATGGATTCATAATATCGCTTTGGCATATCTACAATCCTCATGAGTTTACGCCACTTACTCCTGAGGAACATGGAGCACGAGGACCGGACGTATTCAACGATTCACACCCATCCAGTCCTCCCAAGTCATCAGTCACGCCCAAATTCCCAGTTCTCATGATACATGGACTTTTGCAATCCGCTGGAGCTTATTGTACAAACGATGATGAATCTCTGGCGTTCTACTTATGCAAAGAGGGCTACGATGTTTGGATAGGAAATAATAGATGTGGCTTTAATCCTGAACATACTTCACTCAACTACGCAGACCCAAGGATGTGGGCGTGGAATATTCGCCAAATGGGGGTCATGGACCTGCCTGCTCTGACATCTAGGGTCTTGTCAGAGACCGGCTTCGAAAAGCTAGGATTGGTAGCGCATTCACAAGGCACAACTCAAGCATTCGTCGCCCTAGCAAAGGAGCAACGACCTGGTTTCGGCGACAAATTGACTGTCTTCTGTGCGCTGGCGCCAGCAGCTTATGCTGGTCCCTTAATTGGGAAAGCATATTTCAAATTCATGCGTGTCATATCACCTGGGATTTTCAGGATCATTTTTGGAATACATGCATTTATCCCTTTTATGATGATGATGCATGCCACTCTTCCTGGAAAGTTGTACGGTGCCATGGGCTACAGGGTGTTTTCGTTCCTGTTCAATTGGACTGACGATCGTTGGGACCGCAGTTTGCGAGATCGCATGTTCCAGTTCAGTCCTGTCTACGTGAGCGCAGAGAGTATGCGCTGGTGGCTTGGTCGAGAGTGCTTCGCCAAGCAGAAGTGCATACTTGCCACAAGGGAGGAAGGCCACGCTGAAGATGAGGAAGATGAGATGGAGGAATACTACAAAAAGGAAGCAGGGAAAAGCGTAGATGAGCAGAGAGAAGAGAAACCGCAACTGTACTCCATAGGAAAGAAGAAGGGAGAGAAAAAGCCGAAAGGCAGCACCGCTTGGTACAATGGGCAAGTTCCGCCTTTCGCATTATGGGTCGCTGGTAATGACGATTTGGTGGACGGAAGACGACTGCTCCGACGTTTTGAAAGGGGACGTGAGCCATGCGTTCGAGTTGTGCATCAAAAAGTGATCGACGAGTATGAGCATTTGGATGTGATATGGGCTGTCGATAGCATCGAGAAGGTGGGAAAGGAGGTCAAGGAGACATTGTGGAAAACTTGTAATGTCCGAGACAAGGTCAGAGTGCCAAGGGGATGTCAAGATATAGATGCTTGGGTCGATAATCACGGGGGTAGGAGCAAGGAGGCTGAGGATCAGAATGAGCAAGACAGCAGCAGCAGCGGTGATGAAGTAGAAGATGTAGGGGATAGTGGATTTTAGAAAGCAAAAACGCCAAAACTTACATACAGACGATATAAATGCCTTACTATCCATGTACACATATTTATATATACGAGACACGAATAGAAACGAATCTACAGCAAGGTGGTATCACCGCTCAATTCCAGAAGAGGGCCTATGAAATATTGCCGTGCTTCATGTGGGTAAAAGCTTCAGACAAACGATCATTGGCAGATATGTGATGAAAATGCAAGACGTTGGGGCTGGGGGAGGGGGCTGGTAATAGATTTTAAGGATCTATCATTAGAATGATAGAAAGAGAACACAATATACAATTCATAGCATTTTCACAGCACAATTGCGAAGACGTGTGCATTAGTTATACTCCCAGTTGTTGGTGGCCAATTCTATCATAGCCGAGGTGCATCTTGTACTGACATATATATATTTATCTAAATAGAACAAGCGCATGAATAACCCAAGCGGCTTTAGCTCACTTGGGAGAGCGCCAGACTGAAGTTAACTTTGGAACATATATATCTGGAGGCACTGTGTTCGATCCACAGAAGCCGCACTCCTGCGAATTGTAGTTCACTACGATTAAAGTACACATTTTTGCGGGTTTGCTATTTTTAATTTCGGGATATCTATCTATCCTTCCTGAGAAAAAAGATAAGTAGAATTCTTAATTTTTCTGAGGGATAGCGGGGGTGTGAGGATCTGGTCGATCGACGAGCCTATGCTTCATTTTTTTGAGAATGATGGCGGTGGATTGCTGGTGGAGCGGGAAGCCGGCAGGAAACTAGTCAGGCCTCGGGAATATATGTAGTTTCAAGCAGATATTACTATCTCTTCTTAGTTAATTGTCTCTTACTTCGTGTTTCCACTTCTGTCACTTCTGTTAGTAGCTGGACCAAGTGCTTTAAGATTTTGTCTACTAACTGTTTCAACAAGGTGGTGTCAGAATTCACGGTGGATGACTCAGGGCCCTACAAAACACCGAAATCAGGACTCACGATATATCAAAACAATAATTTGGCACGTCATGATGGCTCCACCAAAAGATTGAATCCGTTCCGCACGCCTGCCCCTGAGTCTTTGAAGGGTAAAGAAGCTACTATCCGAAGGAAAACCCAATTGTATCACGATTTAGCTCGAGAGGGTCAGATAAAGCTGATTTATAAGATTGGGGAAGCAAATAGTATTTCAGAGACTACAGCTCGAAGATGGCGAGACGTATGGAAGATCCAAGGTGAGGGCGCAAAGTATAGATCACGATCAAGATCCACGACACTCGGCCGCAAGTCAGAGATTACAAAGGACATGGTAAAGATGCTCTGCTCCATGAGTCGATATCTGGTCCGTAAACAACCGTACGAGGCGCAAATTGCATATCATTACCTACCTACCAGAACACGTCAATTACAAGGGAAAATCAAGGGATTTACATATGGAGGAGGTCGATATAAGTGCGCCTTCGTTAAGAAGATTATATCAGACAAAACCACTACCGAGCGAGCTACCTACGGTTTACAACACCTTTAGGATCCTATTTTTAGTTTCTGGGACCATGTAGTCTTTACAAATGAAGCTCATATTGATCGACCCTACCTCTCAAGCTCAAGGCCGTGTCACTCGAGAGCAATGGACACGCGATAAGCCGGGGAATATCGAAGAGTGGCCGCCTTTAAAAGGTGTACGGTTCCACATTGCCGCTTGGATTAGTTGGTAGGGCAAAGCAGAAAAGTTCGAGTGCTATAATGATAAGGAAGACAAGGCCAACGTCCATCCTTACCCCTCAAAGCTCGACGCCGCCCAACTACAGAGTCTCCTGAGGAATACGCCGCTCGAGTACAAGAATGGGACGCAAGGCAGCCTTATCAAGTAGAAGTGCAGGTTAAAGGTATTGAAATGACTCAAAATTACTACATAGAGAGACTTCTACCTATACTCTGTCAAGCGATCGAGTCTATGCCGGATTTAGACGATAAACCCTGGCTTTCACAAGAAGATGGCGACACTTATCACGGTATGCGAGAGAAGGGACTTGCGCAGGAGTATAAGGCTATTCACGGCATCAAAAATCTCTCCCACCCTGTGCAGAGCCCTGATTTAGACCCTATCGAAGGTACCTGGGCTGTTCTAAAGCAAAGTTTACGGCGTAGGATCTTTGATTCGGAGGAGATGAACCAGGCTTTACAAGAAGAATGGGACAAGATTAGGATGGAAGAGATCCGATTTCGGATCGCCGATATGTCTGGAAGATGCACAGAGCTCGTAAGATCTAGTGCAAAATTTACCGTCGTCAACACCCTACATTTCACTGTGCGGAAGCCATCATTCCAACAATATCACTTCTTACTACCCTCGAGATTTGGGTGGGGCTGAGTCATCCGTCATGAATTCTGACATCCACTGTTATGGATTCTTTACTCTGACTTAGTCAACGGACGACCGACTTCGCTTAATATAGGGGTTACACGAGAGAGTGAGACCATTAAGACCATTAAGACCATACATACCCACATGTCAGCCTACCGCCTACCGCCTACCAGCCCACCAGCCTACCAGCCTACAAGCACTGACAGACACTATTGACAAAGTGTCGGCACATACCGATGAGTGTCGTCCAACCTCCAGCAGAAACCCTGACCTGTGATTGGGCGACCGCAAATTCGATACCTGTGAAGTCTGGCAAACACTTGCAGTGTCACCAGGCATGCTAAAGTAACTCGAGCATTCATCCATTCATTCGTAAACGTGCTCAACCGTAGGTTTCCCATTGGTCAGCCCGGAAAGTGGCCAAGTATCGCAGCCAAGTTCCTCCAAGATCTCGCCAAGGTCCACCAAGTATCAATTCTTCCACGACCGTCCACTTCGCCCACCCAAAACCGAAAGGGTTTCCCGTCTAGCCAAGCTTGCCGCTGTTGTTCGCAAGTAGATTCCTGGGCCCAATTTGCTTGTTGCGTGAAAAACTGTCTTGGGGATGGTAAGGGGGATTATAAGCTCACCGTGGCAGGCCATCTAACCACAAATCACGCCGATCTATGAGGAAACGTGCTGGTCGGCTTCTTTATGAGGAAGCCGCTCTGTAGAATGTTAGCCACTTTATGTGTTAGAATTTGCCTTTGAAATCCGCCTGAGGGCCTAGTATCACTCTTGCGGGACACGCCACCAAACCTCGAATTTTCCGTGGATCTCGCATGCTTTGTCTGTAGCCTGCTGCATACATATAGGTTTGGCTCGCACCCAAATATATTGACAACTCAACTAAGCGAGTCCTTCACTTGTTCCCTTACCTCCCCAGAAGACTGCAAAAAGTCATCGCCGCCAACATGGTTCTCACTGAGTACACCTATGTCTTTGCCATTGGCACCTTCTTTGCCATGCTCGATGCTTTCAACAACGGTGCTAGTATGTGCTCTTGATCAGGTACTATAGTGGTCAACTGCAGACTCTCTGCAGACGATGTTGCAAATGCTTGGGCAACTAGTGTTTCTTCAAGATCGGTCTCCTATCGCCAGGCCATGGTATTCGGTACCATCTTTGAAATGCTGGGAGCTATTACAGTCGGTGCTCGGACAGCCGACACTATCAAGAATGGAATCATACCCAACACTGCTTTCAAGGGTGATGCTGGTGTACAGATGCTTGCTTTCACTTGTGCTCTTGCAGCCGCCTCTTCCTGGGTTATGTGGTGTACCAGACACTCCGCTCACGTTTCTTCCACCTACTCTTTGGTGTCGTCCGTTGCTGGAGTTGGCGTTGCCACTGTTGTAAGTATTCCCACATGCTGAAATCCACGCAAATAGCTATTCTGACCATGGATCCAGGGTGCCAAGAACGTCCAATGGGGATGGAACAACGGAAAAGGACTCGGGGCTATCTTCGCTGGTCTTGGAATGGCACCTGCGATCTCAGCAGGCTTCGGTGCCTCAATATTCATGTGCATCACACTCGTCGTACACATGAGAAGGAATCCAGTCCCATGGGCCGTCTACACTTCGCCTCTGTGGTTCCTCATCTCTGGCACTATATGCACTCTCTCAATCGTCTACAAGGGATCCCCAAAACTTGGTCTTAATAAGAAACCTGCATGGTTCGTTGCTGCCGTTACCACGGGAACTGGTGCTGGTTGTGCTGTGTTGGCTACCATATTCTTCCTCCCTTATGTCTATGCCAGAATCATCAGAAAGGATAGCACGGTCAGGTGGTGGATGTTCATTCAAGGGCCGCTTTTGCTCCAACGTACAACTCCAGCAAATGAAGTCGATCATGCTGTCGTTCCTAACTACGCCGTTGTCCAGAATGATGACAGTGTCTCGACGCACACGCCAGAGTCACTCAGCGACTATGACCCTAAAAAGGGCGAAAATGATATTAGCACAGCTCCCGTCCAATCGAACGAGAAGGGGTTATCCGCCCCCGAAGTGAACCAGAAGTCGTACAAAGAGCTCCAGGCCGACAGCGATGCGAAACTCAGAGTCAAGCTTGAGGCTAAACGTGGTCCCTTTGGCTGGGCAATGAGAGTTCTGCGTGACAACCCGATGGGACCTGGCCAAATCTATGAGTGGCATAACCTCAAGATAATAGCCAAGCGTCTCCCCCCCCAGATTATTGTCGGTGCTCTCTATGGTCTGCACTACGATATCCACGCTGCACAGACAGGTACCGCTGGTACTCCAGATGGAAGGCGTATGCAACGTGTTTATGCCCATGCAACCAAGTACCCCAACGAAGTTGAGCACACTTACTCGTTCGTCCAGATCCTGACTGCCTGCACTGCATCATTCGCACATGGCGCCAATGATATTGGAAACTCTGTTGGTCCTTGGGCTGTCATCTATGGTGCTTGGAATACCGGCAACGCAGCAGCTGCAAAGGCTCCAGTCCCTGTCTGGCAGCTTGCTGTTCTTTCTGCCACGATCTCTCTTGGTCTGGTCACCTATGGGTACAACATCATGAAGGGTAAGTCGTTTCCACAATCGTCCTGGTCAGCCGTTAACATGCTCCGTAGTCATGGGTAACAAGATCACCTACCACTCTCCCAGCAGAGGGTGCTCCATGGAAATGGGTGCTGCAATTACTGTCCTCGTCTTCTCACAGTACTCCCTTCCAGTTTCCACGTCCATGTGCATCACTGGTGCCACAGTTGGCGTTGGTTTGTGCAACGGTACCATCAAGGCTGTCAACTGGCAGCGAGTTGGTCTTTTGCTGTTCTCTTGGATCATGACTATCCCCGTTGCCGGAACACTCGGAGGTGTGATCATGGGTATACTGCTTAATGCTCCTCATTTCAAGAGCTAGATGATATAATATTCGCGGACCCAACACATGCACATTTGGTATTGTAAATAGCCGAGCAAGCTGGATTAGATAGGGGCGGATTGGCTAGGCTTTTGTAGGATACTAGTCACTACACCTTCTAGACTTAATGAACCGGATGACTTTCACATCGCTGGCAGTTTCTGTCTAGAATTGTTGGTTATTGGCAGCATCAAAGTGATGATAGCTCATACCTAGTCTTTCATAAAACGAAGTGTCGCACATAACGCATATATGCACCTCTGAACG